TGCCGCAAAGATCACTTCAAACCTCAAAGGGCCACAAACTCAGGAATCTTCCAGTCGGCCAATCCTAAAAAAATGACACCATATTTAAAAAATTACACCTACACAAACACTCTTAAAAAACTGACAGCACATGGCTTAAGAGAGCCTTTAGAGTCCCCCCTTGTGCAACAATTACCCCTTTAAGATTGGCTAATCCTGAAATATGGGCCTGTGACTAATGGCGGAATTTAGCAAGAAATCGGCTCCAGTTTCACCAGGCTTTATTGACTCTAATGCATGATGCAGATACGTTTGGCTATGATGAATGAGCGTGGGGATACTGTCAGGCCTACCCCTCCTCCTTCTCCTCCTCCTCGTCTTTCACTGATACTTTTGTGCAGGTGATAATGAAAAGTGTCAGAGAAGCATGTAACAGGCCCTTTCACTTGCTTGCCAAAAGAATAAGCTGTCATGTCAACAATGGTGTTGAATGGGAACATTTGAGCTGTTTTATTTCTTGTTGTTTTACAGGGTGAGGTGCCTCAGAAAAGTCTTTCTTTAATATCCGTCTTTAATAAACTGCGATATTGCAGCTTGTTTTTGAGCGTGTGCCAGCCTGCTCTGACATTCTGCTACAGGGAATTGAGCACAAAGCCACAAGAGCAGGACTTAGTGTACTTTGCTACACAAACAACATATCAGTCATGCTCTGACTGTGGCTCTGTGCTGCAGCAACAACATTATGTTTATGTGAAACGCTTTTGTTTGACAGTGACAAATATTGTGCTGATGAACTGGTGCAGATTGCTCAATAAGACAATCTCAGAGTTTCCATACTTGCAAAAACATCAGGTACTTTGAAGGGCCCGAGTTGATATTTGCCTGGTTGCACCTGTAGCGTGAAAATGTGGATAATTATCATGCCATGTAACAGTGTCAGTTTTCTCAACTGATTTCTCATGACATACCTTCAGAGCTGAGATTTTCAAAGAATGAATTAAACCAAAAAGCAACATAAACAACACAGTCATTTTAAAAAGCAGTGAAGTGACCAGAGATACAGTGAGGAACAGAAGTATTTGAACACCCTGCGATTTTGCAAGTTCTCCCACTTAGAAATCATGGAGGGGTCTGAAATTCACATTGTAGGTGCATTCCCACTCTGAGAGACAGAATAAAAAAAAAATTTCAGGAAATCACATTGTATGATTTTTAAAGAATTTATTTGTCTTGCACTGCTGAACATAAGTATTTGAACACCTGAGAAACAGCAAGAATTCTGGCTCTCAAAGACCTGTTACTGTGCCTTGAAAAAGTCCACCTCTACTCCACTCATTAATCTACATTAGTAGCACCTGTCTGAGCTCTTTAAAGACACCTGTCCACCCCACAGTCAGTCAGATGCCAACTACTACCATGGGCAAGACCAAAGAGCTGTCAAAAGACACCAGAGACAAAATTGTGGACCTCCAGAAGGCTGGAAAGGGCTACGGGGCAATTGCCAAGCAGCTTGGTGAAAATAGATCAACTGTTGGAGCAATTGCTAGAATATGGAAGATGCTGAAGACGACTGTCAGTCTCCCTCGGACTGGGGCGCCATGCAAGATCTCACCTTGTGGGGTATCACTGATAAAAAAAGGTGAGTAATCAGCCCAGAACTACAAGGGAGGAGCTGGTCAATGACATGAAGAGAGCTGGGACCACAGTTTCAAAGGTCACTGTTGGTAGAACACTACGCCGTCATGGTTTCAAATCATGCATTGCACGGAAGGTTCCCCTGCTCAAGTCATCACATGTCCAGGCCCGTCTGAAGTTTGCCAAAGACCATCTGGATGATCCAGAGGAGGCATGGGAGAAAGTCATGTGGTCAGATGAGACCAAAGTAGAACTTTTTGGTCTAAACTTCACTCGTCGTGTTGGGAGGAAAAAGAAGGATGAGTTGCATCCCAAGAACGCCATCTCTACTGTGAAGCATGGGGGTGGTAACATCATGCTTTGGGGGTGCTTTTCTGCGAAGGGGACAGGACGTCTGCACTGTATTAAGGAGAGGATGAATGGGGCCATTTATTGTGAGATTTTGAGCAACAACCTCCTTCCCTCAGTCAGAGCATTGAAGATGGGTCGTGGCTGGGTCTTCCAACATGACAACGACCCGAAGCA